ACAGGTTTTTTTTCTATTCTGCCCAGATTTCATCAAACATCCGATTCCTCTTCGTCCGTGGTCCGATCGAGCTGAAATTTGGAGGATAGGTTCATGACTCAGTGTCGCATAATCTGAACGGTGGAGATCAGATTTTGAGTTCGGGAATAGTATTTCGTACCCGTGAACAGTAACCGGGTTTTGGAACTCGCCGGGATTTTTTTTAAGAAGACGACGTTGAAACTTTGAACAAAAGTTTCTGAGGCAAGATTCTATCCTTACTCTTTCCCTTAGGCTTCATACTCTTTGCACTCTTAAATGATTCCAGGATTAATGAAGATTAAACCAAACTAAAATGATATCTGTTTTGCTATGAAACTGGTAGTTACAGTAGTGTTGTATGCTTGTTCAACCTAGACTAAGCATGTTTGTGGATGCATTGTGGTTCTGTGGTTCACGTTTTTCCTTACCACTGCTAGTATAAATTATTGGAAGGATGGGCCTAGATGATAGCTATCTTAACTTCTGTAATAGCAACTGTTGGAACTTAAATACTAGGAGGATTTGAGTTTAACACTAGATCGGTTTTGTGGAACACTATAATTTGAGCATGTCTACATACATACTGTGAATATTGTTTTGATGCTTACATTATCACAGTTAGTATCAATTGTGGAGGTTAGGATTTTGTGATACATACCCTACATATCTGTATGTCATTTGTAAGGTGTTAAATGGAAGTTTTAATTAATTCTGTCTTTATATCAAACTAAAGGGAACAACTTAAATTGGGCATGTATATGTTGTTGTTGTGACCCTGTTTATCAATGCTTATTTTATCACTGCTAACATTGAATGTTGGATGTTGGAATTTAGTTGATATATAGTTGATTTATTGGTATTATTGACTACTGGAGGATTGGAAAGTAGGCACCGGTATGGGACGGTGGCATACTAAGGATGGGTTTGGTTTTTAAAGCAATACCATTACCCACCTACTTGGAATAAGGATGGGATTAACTAAAAGTTAAGTCCCGTGGATTTGTATTGTCATGGCAACTACTTGTTGAGCGGCAATACCAGGGATTTTGGATGGATTTTATATATGTACTATTATGGTGCCTCGGTATGAGCTTGAGCCTCAGGACCGATGGTTAGGGAGCGTATATGCATCAGGATGTGTAGCTGGCTACGATAGTTGGAGGTGTACCCTGTTTAAGTATAGGTACATATGCCCACTTCGTGTGCGTTTTAGCATGTTACCTCTATTCAGGTTGAGACCGGCCTATAGTACAGTGAGAGTCCTTTAGTGTGACTATATATATATTTACGGACTATTAGCTATTGTTGAATTGTTTAGGATGTACATGCGTATCGGGCCTCTGTTTGGATTGTAGTAGTATAGAACTTGCGCGTGGGCCTGACCCACTTCTATTTTTCAGGTACACGACAGTTCCATGCTTAGACGTGTTCGTGCTGAGCAGAGGTCTCTATTCACTCTTCCGACGATGTAGGGCTCTCTCTATAGTTTTATTTCTGGACGTTTATTACAGTTGTTCTATCTTCCGTTTGGATGTTTAATAGGGGTCCACTAGAGATGGATTCCCAAGTTGTAAACTGATGGAGTTTTGGAGTTTGGGTTTGATGGATTTTAATAATTATAATATTTTGCGGATTCTATTTTTAGTTCCTTCCAGCTTTAATTTCATTTCTTAATTTATTTTGTATTCCGTGTTCATTATAAAATATTAATTGTTTGATATTCCCTCGGGTTTGGGCCTGGGCCTGATCAACCCGTGTCTCGGATCCGAGGGGTATCACAGCGAGCTATAGGTGCATAATCCTACATCGCCTAGGTGTGAAAAAAGTAAGTGCTAATATGTAGATTCAACATCCTTCTATAACACATGCGTTTTAAAACTGTGATAGTCGTGAACCCACTAGAACTCCGGAGTTAAGCGTGCTTAACATGGAGTAGTACCAGGATGGGTGACCCCCTGGTAAGTCTCTGGTCTGAAGGAGCCAAAAACAGACAATATTGTGTCTGGCTAGGGTAAGGTTTGTTACAAATGGTATCAGAGCCTGACTTAGCCGGAGGGGGGTGGCTAACGGGGACGTTGGGCCCCAAAGGGGGGTGATTGTGGCAACCTATGTGTGCGGGTGTCGTGGGCGGGTGTGAGACACTGGCAGGCTACCAAACTGGGTGAGCTACAGTTGCATAATCCCACATCACCTGGGTGTGGAAAAGGCAAGTGTTATATGTAAATTCAATACACTTTTATAACACAACGCATTTTTAAGTCGTGATGGCCATGAACCCACCAAAATTCCGGAGTTAAGCGTGCTTAACCTGACGTAGGACCAGGATGGGTGATCCTCTGGGAAGCCTCTAGTACGGGGAGCCAAAAGCGGACAATATTGACATTGGTGATGGTGGAAGGAGATAATGGTATAGGTGACGGTGGTGGAAGCCAATAAAGGTAACTGGGCGAGCTACAAATGCATATTGACAGTAGTGGTAGTGGTATAGGTGACAGCGGTGGAAGCCAATAAAGGTAACTGGGCGAGCTACAAGTGCTCAATCCCATATTGTTTGAGTATGGAAAAAACAAGTGTTATGTGTAGATTTAACACTTTTCTATAACACAACGCGTTTTAGTGACCCTTTAGGAAGTCTCTGGTTGTTACATTGGTGGCGGTGGTGGAAGGCAGAGGTGATTGTGGTGGAAGGAAATGGTGAATTTTGGACTTAGAACATGAGGATTTTTTGGGAAATTGAATTTTTTAAAAAAATAATACTTGGGAATGGAATGGTTATTCCATATGTTTAGTTGTGGAATAGATTTTCATTCTAATAGAATGACCATTCACAGTTAAAATTGCATACCAAACAAAGATATGGTTGAAATGGGTCTGCACACCAAACTCATCAAAGAAACAAACGTCTGTTCGGCCCGTTTGGAAAGTGTTGTGTTTTGTAGTGTAATGCTCTAGCCTAGAACAGAACAAGTGTTTTGTTATGTGGTATTCTGAAATGGGAACAAAACATGTTTGGCGACGAAAATTAGAGGTGAGAATTTTGGAACAGAAACATGGTAAAACATGTTTGGCAAGGTATTTTGTTTCAAAAAATATGAGAACAAAACATGTTTGACAGAGTGATAGTGTAACCAAAATTAGTAAAACAAAAACATGAAAATTTTTGGAACATAAATTAACTTGCACTCCATTATAATTTATAGTAAATTATATTGCAATAGAGGGGACCAATCCTATGATTTTCGACTTTCAAAGTTGTATTACAGGATCTGAAAATGTAAATAAATCAGATTTTCAACTTCAATCTACGCTAGTGAATTGTGAAGGCAAACTCCTCAAACTGTTGAGAAAATGCTTTGGTGATATGCAATCTTTACATAAATTCTCTTGGCAGACATGTAACAGTAGAGATTATAAATAATAACACAAATAATGACTCGGAAGAACTGTGTTTGAAATTTCTCTTTGGCCCATACGATTGCTTCATCAACGCCAAGCTCTTCGCTTGTCTTTTCCCCAATGTCAGGATTAATCTCAATGACATAAGACTCATCACTTCATCCTCTTCTTGTTCTATTTCTTGTTCTTGCAACACTCTTTCTTGAACTTAACTAGCTTTGGATACCTTGACACTTCTATATGAATCAGGTTCAATTGTAATGGTCTCTGGGGAGGAAACTCGTCACGAGAATCCAAAATGGGAGCTTCAGAAATTCTCTTTGTATTCATTTTTGACAAATCAGTTTTCGGTATTTGAAGGACTGTTGCATGAAAAAACTACCATCTTCTGTTGCCTTGGGGCTTTCCTTGGGCATCATTGTTAACAAATTCCATCTACATGGGACATTTATTGGTCTGAAAACAGAGTAAAACATGAGCAAAAAGAAGTTTGCCAAGAGACGCCATGGTTCCATACACATGCGTTGAAATTACATTTGCCAGATGATTGTAATGCTCCTTATGATCATTACTACTTTTAGCCTAAGAGATTCCATGGGTGTTTATCAATCAAGGTTTGATCATTTACTGATTTACATGTTTGCCACGTGTATATCCAAATTACAGACCATCCATGGAATTGGAACCAAAAATTGAAAAATTAAAGTTTTAAACTAGGGTTTTAAGTACAAAAATCCATTTTACACCCCATCTGTGGATTTCTAAGCAGAAAAGTCAAAAAAATTTGAACACGAAATGCGAACTCCAACTAAATTGAACAAAAGAAGCGAAAATGGTTCAAACTTACGTTGTTTTGCGACGAAAACACTGAAATAGCAAACTTTGTTGGGCGATTTGAAGAAAAAATCAACAAATTTGTAGTCGTTTTCAGCAAGAACGCAAGAACAGTAGATTCGCCTTCGGAATCGGCTGAAGAGATCACGGAACAAACCCTAGAAAAGTGTTGCAAGTAGTGAAATAGCAAACTTTGTTGGGCGATTTGAAGAAAAAATCAATAAATTTGTAGTCATTTTCAGCAAGAACGCAAGAACAGTGGATTCGCCTCAAAATCGCCTGAGGAGATCGCAGAACAAACCCTAGAAAAGTGTTGCAAGTCATATATAAACATGTGCTACGTTTGGGCCAATGTTTTCTCCGCTACAATGCCATTGTTCTCGCCGCTACAGTGAATTTCTAGCCTAACTATGGTTGGAATAAACTGGAACATAAAAATGTTATTTCAACGTTGGGCCCGAAATTTTGGGTTGTTTTGCTACTGTTGGGACAAAATAAGGCAGGTCAAACATGTTGTGGACTCAAAATGAGTTACTGTAGCGGCGTGGGAGCATTACACAACACTCGGGAATACTTCCCAAACAGAACCTAAAATCCAATAAATCTTAAATGCATAAAAACCTCTAATTATGAACCCGCCAGCAGGGAATCAATACTCAAAGTCGTATGCCAGTGGGGGCGAGAAGACGTTTTCACCCTTGTTAACCTAAAATCCTCAAACTCGCATTAGAGTATTTAACCCCTACAGGTACGGTACTGTCTCTCTCTCTCCTATCTCTCTCTCTTTCCTCATGGATCGAGTTCAGCTGCTTCTTGTAGGTTTACCTCTTTTCCTCTTCTGCTCTGACGTCATTAACCTCTTCGCACCACCGCCTCCCAAACCCGCCCACCACCACCACGAACACCACCAAACACGACCCCAACCAGTTATTCAACAAACCCTAGATTTCCCTACTCAGGTCGGTCTGAAACTTTACCACCTCTTTAAAAAAAATCCTTTAATTCGATCAATTCAATATCCTAATTTAATACCGAATCTTCAATTTTTTTCTTTGATTGCAGAAATCAAATCCAATCGGAGGAATTGGAGTCCGCAACACCGTCAATATCAACTACTGCTCTTCTTGTTCTTACAGGTTACCCAAATTTATTTATTTATTTACATCAATACATATATTTTGATAGTCACCAAATATAAATCAGTTGGATTAAATAATATCATACTATCAACTTAGTACGTATATGAATAACGCCATTTACAATCTTATATATATATATATATATATATATATATATAATTTTTATATTGATCTACTGAATTCACGCTATTGCGTATGTTAGAGTTATTTACTGTTGTATTAATCAAACACTTTTGATTTACTAGTTGAGCATTAATTGCATAATCTGTAACAATAAGAAGTGGGGCAACACAATTTTTCTTTTGCTCGATCTCTATAACATCACTTGTTACTTGAACAAAATTACTTCGATCTTCCTTCTTGTTATCTATTTCTTTTTTCTTGTTAATTTAGTGGAAGAAACTTGGCTTTCAAAAGACGTTTCATCTTAAACCAAGATCGTATCGGTGTTTTTCTTTGTCATGCACGAGTAATCCGTAACTGTTCCCACCAATTAGAAGCTCATCCCTTCAATTTGTATGCGACGAGTGCCACCTTCTTATCCTCTGGAATCCCCATGCAATCAAAGAACCTCTCAAAATCTTCTAACCAATCTAGAAAATCTTCAATATGAAAGAGACCATCAAAACTTCTAGGAGGAAAATTCCTAGAATCATAATCCTCATAATCATGATATCTTCGTTCTCTATGATCCCCAAACACCTTTTCCTCATAGTCTGACTGACTATGCGGAGGGAAGGGGTTGCGATTACGAACAGGATGAACACGATCTATGTCGTTGCGCAACCTATTGTTATCGCGGTTCTGACCTAGACCCAACTTAAGCTTAACAATTTTTGCTTGAATATCTTGCAACGTTTGTTGGGTTTCACGTTGATAGTCTTGAAATTCGGCTCTAAAAGGAGCCACTCTCTGTCGATCTTCGTCGCCAGCGAGGTTGCCACGAAAACGATCACCTACCATTAGACCAGGAAAAGATAAGGTTTTGATACCAACTGACGTAAGCGGAAGTGATAAATTTGTTCACGAAGAACAGGTTACCTTGAATCCAGAAGGTGGGTGTTTTGAATCCACAAAACAGAAAGAGAATTCAGAGAAATCTGATATATTATTTGATAATTGAATGAATAAAAGTTTAATTCTGCACTTGGCAGTACACATATTTATAATAAAAGAAAACTTAACTCTAGAAGAAAACTAAAACATAAAGAAACCTAATAGCAAAAGGAAAACAATTCCTCAAAGAAATTAAATAAAATTACACTTCCTATAAAAAAATTATAAATATAAAATAATTAAGAAATCTAAATAATAAAAATTACTAAGTATGATAAAACTGTCCTACATCAATTGTTTATGCAAATTGGATTTTCATTTATAGATGTAGGAACATCACTGAGCAAATTATTGATTTTGCCATCAATTGAGCTTTTTATAGTGTCTTAGAATTTTGACTTATGGCCTAAAATGACATGGGTTGTCTATGAGAAGATATAAAGTCAGAATTTTGTGGTTTATGGTAGCATTGATTTATTTTTAGCTTTTCTACTGTTATTTATTTCTACTAATGGAAGATTATGGTATAGTATAATGTACTTCGATAATTTCTTCTTTATAGATAATAACATGTTTGGTTCTGTGGACAGAGGAAATGCAGCAACAATGAAAAATATGCTGGAAACATCATTTCCTGATGTTGATGTTATTCTTGCAAATTATCCTCCTCCACTTCCAAAACGCTTGTTGAGCAAAGTAGTGCCTGTTGTGCAATTTGGAGTTATTGGTATTGTAATGGCCGGTGAACAAATTTTTCCAAGGTTGGGATATATGGCACCACCTCCTTGGTACTACTCCTTGCGTGCGAATAGATTTGGAACCATTTCAAGCACATGGCTTCTTGGAAATTTCCTTCAATCCTTCCTGCAAAGCTCTGGAGCTTTTGAAGTCTACTGCAATGGTGAATTGGTATGTCTCCTTCTATTGCATTAAATAGGTGGTGCTAGACTGCTTGTGTTTAGTTAATTAAATGTTCTTTGTTAATGCAGTCTAAAATGTAGTTTTTGGGTTTGTTTGTGGAAATCCTTAAAATATTATTGGTAAGCTCAATACATGTCACATGTTAATTTAGTGGCTTGGACATCTAAATTTCTTGATCAGGACCAATCTTATTTATTTATTTTTATTTTTGAGACTCAACCATTGAGCAAGTGTTCATATACTTTCCTATCGAAAAAGAAAAAAAAAAAAAAAAAAGTGTATACCGGCTGCTGCTGCTGTTTTTTTTTTTTTTTTTGGAAGTTAAAGCAAACACACACAAACACTCACACCCATTATCCGCATGTCCCTAGTGGTACTTGATCCCTCAAACTCCCAGTTGGGGGAGATAGGTTATACCATTGGTCTAGAAACCCTTTGGTGCTACTGTTGTTGTTTTCTTCTTTCTTATTAATTATAATTTTTTTGAAAAGTCAAAATTTTATTGATAAAACGACCTTGGAAAAGGAAACACATACAAAACGAAGATAAAGGCCCTGCTAACAAGCACCTAAAAGGGCAACACAAAGCCCTAGAATTGCTCTGCACCAACTCAAAAACATGACAGCGCGAAGGAACAAGAACGTAACAATGAGGCGTAGCTCAACTCAAGCCCAAAACAACCTGAAACCGAAAATGACAGGAAAGATGCAGCCCCAGATACAATCAGCACACAGAAAGAGCCATAAACATAGCTGAAGAGCAGTAGCAAACAAGCCAGAATATGGCAGCAGAACGTGAAACAACATTCAATATGAGACCAGAGCAACAGGATGTTTTGCAGATGACTCCTAATGAAACAGCCCAGAAACAGAGAAATAATCATCCAGATTCCGGAACATCAAATGGTGATAAGTAGTATCCACATCTCGGGATTCTGCACTCCCCAATAAGTCATAACTCATAAGTCTGGATAATTTATTTTATCGGAGTGGCTTTGCTTTAGCCTGGATTAGATTCTTCCAAGCGATTGCAATCTGTCACTTTTTTTTCCCGAAAAAATTTAATCTGTCACATCTTAATAGCATTCTTTAAGAGTGAAAATGTACAAATACTAAACATACAACCGTTACTCAATCCAACTAGGTTTGCCAAATTACACACACGTTTCCTATTAATTCTTCATTTTTGTGCTATTGTGAATTCTGTATGATTTCTCGATGAATTGGGTCCTATGTCCTCCTCCCCAAGTCTAATGATAATTGTTATTGCACCTCATGCAACTTGTCCTCGTGGTTTCTTTTTCTTGTCATGTTTTACCATCTACAGGTATATCCTCTAAGCTTCTTTTGAAAAATCATGTTTATTGGCTTGCTGAAAGACAAAATACTGGTGATATTTTATTTAACCGCACTGGTGGCTTTAAGTTGAAACATATGTTGATATTTTTCTTTACTTCCTTAAGATGTCAGATGATGTATTCTTTATACAGTTTTTCAAATTTATATAAAATTAAAAATTTGATGACATTTTTACCTTTCCTTCTTAAGCAGCAATAAGTACAAGTGGTTCTGTTGGAATTTATTCTGCATATTTTTATCTTCCTAACGTGCCACCATCTGGTTTTATGTGTACAACATAGGTTTTCTCTAAGCTGAAGGAGCATAGGTTCCCAGGTGAAATCGAGTTGAAGGAACTTGTTGGTAGTAAGATTGTTGGCTCAAGAATTGTAAATGGTGTTGGAGGAGGAGCTCTCTGGACCTAGTGCTGCCTGATAAAGGAGGAGAAGATGGGACTTCTAAGTTATATAACTGGTTCTCATAGTTAAAAGTAGCGAAAAACTCGCCGATACCACATCAAGAAGTTTTAGAAGGAATGCCTGTTTTACGATAAAGCAGTGAGTAGGTATACCAAATGAAAAGAGTGGGGTGCTACTCTCTTTATGCTTGTGAACTCTATTTCCCTTCATCGGCAAGGAAAGGCGAGGCAATTAACTTTGGGAAATATGGTTTTTAAACCTATCCAACATATGTTTTTACAATTTCTTGTATGTTTGTTACTTTACTTCTTCCTGGTAGATGAATATGTGGTTAGAGTGCTTCATTGACTGGCATAATCTCAATCATGGCTTCGTTTTTCACTCATAAATACTTTTCATGGTCCATGGATGAGCAACATTATCACTCAAATCAAAACTGACCAGGAATTGCAGAATTGAGATTTAGATGGTTGAATATGGTTTTATTTAGGAAAATATATATATATATATATGGTTTTATGATTGGGTCAGTCTCGGTAAATTTGTCAATCTAGTGACACAGTCACATGATGCATTTGCTATCCTGTCTCTTCTGCTCTTAGATTGTAGCAAATACACGCACATTATGTGTCCACGAGACCCAACTTATACCAGTTGGGCTAGTGTGTCCATCTGTCAGTTTATTGAATACGTAGTAACTCAAAGGACTATAAACATTAACTTAAAAAAAAGTCTCCTTCCTACTATTTTGTGTTTTCTTGCATATCATTCAATAATATTTTTAATACCAAATTAAAAGAAGAAGAAGTTGAAGCTGAATTATTAAGAAAGGAAAAAGAAATGAACATCTAACAAAAGGATGCTCTTAGAAGTCCAGATGAAATTACAGAGTGTGTAATAATGACTAGTTTTACATCTTTCAATAATTTTACTAAAAGTTATATTCTTTCAAATCCAGTTAAATTAATTGCTTTGTTGTGCTTGTCCTCATGTCATTTAATATCAACTTGATGGATATGGCCTATGGGTAAATAATTCAAAAAATCATAGCACTGTTCTTTAACAAAATCAAATTATAGCGATTGTTGGTGAATGATTGTTGTCCTACATTAAAGATATAATTACTTATCACCATCAAAAATGCAAAAAGGGGATGTAGCTCAGATGGTAGAGCGCTCGCTTAGCATGCGAGAGGTACGGGGATCGATACCCCGCATGTCCATCCATACGGCGTTTTGCTTTTTTCTGTTGGTTTCTTTTCTATTAGATGTCTTCTTCTGTATTTAATGTTTAAAATTTTTTTTTTGTGCATGTACATGCAAAGGAAAGGGTATATTTATAATTTTCATGAATTAATTAATTTTTAGCAAATAATCTTTGTTCAAACACTTTTTCCAGTTATCCATAAATAAATGTTTTAAAATTAAATATGATATTAACTTTTTAAAATTACAAAAATAAAAATTCATTCCAAACAAATATCACCTACCTCTTTTCAAGTGAACTACTAACCAACAAAATTCATCAATCCACTTCTCTTAAAAATTATTAGGTATTGGTATTGGCCTGGGTGAGAATTTGGGTATTGGTGTCTCATTAAACAACATGTTAAAATATTTTAAGTAAACAATTTTCATGAGAGTACTTATGCAGGTTAAATTGTAGTCTTGTTTAGTGTATGTTATTTGTGGGGGTGTTATGTTTAGGGAAAAAAAAAAGAGAAAAGAAAAAAAGAAAAAAATGGCGATGTGCGGGGTCCACAGAGTGGCGATTATAATATTATGGGTATGGTTGTATGATTTATACGGGTAGGAGTATTTTATTTTGGGCAACTTATGGGTACGACTATGAACAAACTTGGATAAAGATAAAAGTAAACTATGCCAATAAGTTGGTCTCAGGGACATAGTTACGGTAGCAGAAATTCGGAAAATGAATAATTTGTAATCTCGCTTTCCTACCTTACTCCTTATCCTAGTAAGTGGGCCAATACACTACGCCAATAGGTTGTCTGACTGACACTATCACACGTTTCCAATTTTAGAAAACGGCCTAAATTTGCGTGCCCCTATTTTGCCAATTCAATTCAAGATCATCACGTTCTCTTACGTCCTTCGTCTCTCTTCTCTCAGCTCATTTCTGCCTTGTCAATTCCTAAACCCTAACCTCATCACAGATCGTTCTTCATCGTCTGTCCTCAATCGCGCCATGACAAATCAGTCATCCAAAACTCAAGGTCTCTCTCTATATGTCTATTTATGTTCATATGTTTGTGCAATTTGTATACGTTTCTTTAGCTGATATAATTCATATGAAGATATGTTTATAGCGTTTTCAGCTTCTAATTAATTTGTTTACTGTCTGATTCACTTATAAATTTATGTCGGAAGATTTGTTTGATTACTTAATGTTCTGCGAGTTATAGGAAATTGAATTTCTTATCAGCTTGGAATCTGTAGAACAACTCAGGCCTCCGTTTTCCTTAATTTGCCAATTCCATTGTGTTAGGTAGCTAACTGCAGTATAAAGCCTTTGTCTAATTCATATGCGTATAAATTATAGAGCTTTCCATTAAGTAATTTAGTGCTTTCGGGTGCTTCTGAAAATGGGGGGAAGAGGCGTGTGATTATGGTGGAAAGTGTGGAAATTATTAATGATACATTCATGAGATGGTGGAAGTGGTACCCATTGGATGCAAAATGAGAGAAATTGATTAAGATGGTTTGGACATTTTTATTGTGTAATAAAGACCATAAACTGCATCAGTAAGGAAATTTGGCGAGGCCCGCATTAAGAGTGATGCTAGAAGAAAGGGAAGACCTGAATTAAACCACGTTGACTGTTGAGATATTAAAGAAAGATAGTTCATGTTTGTTTTAGTTGATGTTATCGCCTTAAATGGAGCAGGACCTCAAATACATAACTTTGTTGAGTTGATTTCAGATTCTGTGGAACCCAAAGTCCCAACTTTAGTACCTAACATGACTTGGTGATTTAAGAAGGTTAAATAAGTTAATTAGAAGTTTGTGTTTTGGGAAATTCAGGGATTATGCAGCCTAATTATGTTGTAGACTTACATTAAACCAGTTGAACACTGTTAAGATTTGGTCAAATTCAGTACAAATTTTACATCATCATCATTTTCAGCATTCAGTACAAATGTTGCATCTTTTGAACAAATTTAATTCCTTTGCTTTTGGGATTGGATAAACTAAGTTAGGGAAGTGGTTAACTGCTTTAACATTGTGTCCTTCACATAGGTAACAGGTAAGGTTTATTTTCGCTACTCATTTTTTTGAAGAATTTCCTCTGAATGCCATACAGATATTCTGCCCAAGGATGCAAAGCCCTCATATTTTCATTTGCCAGCATTGGATGTTTCCGTTGCATTCCCCCAAGCAACTCCGGCATCCATATTTCCTCCTTGCAGTAAGATCGATTTCCTTATTTGCTTCATATGTTGTTTAATTGGAGGACTGGAGGTGCAACAAAATTTTCTGTTACATTAAATATGCATGCTTGTATATTTTTGTAGATTGTGTACTGCTGAGAGTTTAAAATTACTACAAACTATCTCTGGCTTTGGAACCTATTCAAATTAATTAAGAGTTATGCCTTTGTTCCTAAGAATGAACAGTCAATACTTTTAGCTTTTGAGATCAGAACATGGAAAAATCGTCCACTTACCATCAGATAACACAAATGTTTTCAGATGCCATATTGCAGTGAATTATTCCTTATCTTCACATTTGAAACTTTTAAATTACAGCTTCGGACTACTACCAGTTTCATGATCTATTGACTTCTGAGGAGCAGGCGATCAGGATGAAAGTCAGAGAGTGTATGGAAAAAGAAATAGCTCCAGTGATGACACAGGTATTTTTGCACATTGTACAGTCAATTTTCTCAAAGTGCAATGGTCACTTGTTATTGTATTTGATAAATAGTGCAAAAGAGATAAATGATGCAGCAATTCAAGGGCTTTTTTTTCATGCATATGATACTTAAGTTGTACACATAAGAAATCACTTAACATTTATAAAATTCTAAGTACCCTTCAAAAATATCAATTACTAACATTTTGTAGTCACATGTTTGATCACCTAAAAGTAGTACATATATTGATTTTTCCACTTCAGTACTGGGAGAAGGCACAATTTCCATTTGAAGTTGTTCCGAAGCTTGCTGCCTTGCATATTTCTGGTGGCACCATCCAGGTACTTTTTCTTTTTTCCCATTCTTTTTAACCATCCAGGGGCTTTTGACAACTTTAAAAAAAAAAAAAAAAATTTCTAGCACTGTAATTATAGTTAGCTGAATATTCTACTATTCTGGATTGCAGGGCTATGGGTGTCCAGGTCTCTCCCTTACTGCAAGTGCAATTGCTACAGCAGAAGTTGCAAGAGTTGATGCAAGCTGCTCTACTTTCATTCTAGTTCATTCTTCTTTGGGAATGCTTACTATTGGTAAGGTCTTTAAATGCTTGTTACTTTTTCATTTGACGATATAATTGCTGGGAATTTGGTTGTAACATACAGTGTTCGTTGATGAACGATTAATTTGTGTAATCTGTTGGTCTGTCAAGAGTAGCATTGTGTGGGTCGGAAGCACAAAAACAGAAATATTTACCCTCTTTGGCGCAGTTAAACACTGTAGCTTGTTGGGTAAGAATAAGCTTTTTGGCATTATCTAAATTCTCTAAAACTTGTTGGTATCTCTGTCTACTATGTTCAAGTAATCAAATGTTTTTTGTAAACCTTAGGCTTTGACTGAGCCTGACAATGGAAGTGATGCAAGTGCTTTACAAACAACAGCAACAAAGGTCTAGACTTTTGTATTCTTTTATATCTTGTTATGTACTAATTTGTACCACTCATTATTGGTTCCTTTTTTTGAGTTAATTCTATCGAGTATTCAACATCAATTTCATGGAATTTTATGTTCTTGATGTGACTTTGGACAAAATCAGGTTGCAGGAGGATGGATCCTGGAAGGCCAAAAGCGGTGGATTGGAAATAGCACTTTTGCAGATTTGCTGGTAATATTTGCTAGGAACACCACAACAAAACAGATAAATGGGTAAGTGAAATATGTAATATTTTTGTTTCTAAGAGTACTATTATATATATGCTAAAACAAATATATTACACATGAAATGCAGCTATGGAGCCCCAAACTAATTGACTTGAGCTCAGGATAGACACACATTCTTGGAAGATCAGATCCTAACCACCACAGGAAAACAAAAAGATCAGAGACACAGAACACTACATAGATATCACACAGAATAGATAGTAATCTCCACAGCATAAGAGGCCTCTATGGGCTTTGTCTGTTGTATCTTAAATCAAAGTAGAAAATTGGAGCAAAGAAAAGACGCATTGTAAAAGTGAGTTAATAGCCTAATAGGTGACTACAGATTCAAGCTGGTTTTTCCATTGCACACCTTTGGTAGAAATGACTCAATCCATTGATCTAAGTGATCAGTGTTCAGTCTCGCATCTAAAATCCTTCCCAACAAAAGAAAAAAGAGATCTGATTTTGAAAATGGAGCCCTCTGATAAGTGAGCCGTATATTTACACATGACAGAATGTCATAAGTTGTAGAACTGTACACTCATAAGGAGCTGCAAACAATACTCAGTTGATCCTGCCTTGTTTGTATACAATAGATAATCAGTTATTTGGTTGTTGTAGCCACATGAATATTAAAATCTTTTGGTCGTGGAAAGTAATATGCTAAACATTTGAGAAGCCTGTGAATTAAGTGATGAGGTCATCAGTTACATCAATGTCTGGCATAGGACAGTTTATATGGGAATCAGTCAAATGGCGCTGGATTCCAACCCTTTATGTTTTTCAGTACTTGACTTTGGTTTGTGGCTAAATGATATTGTACTTTTCTGTATGTGCAATTCTGCATATGGCTTCTTTCAAAAGACCGCTGCTTTCCGTTTCAGATTTATAGTAAAGAAGGATGCCCCTGGATTACAAGCTACTAAGATAGAAAATAAAATTGGCCTGCGTATTGTTCAAAATGGAGATATCCTCTTAAAGAAAGTTTTTGTCGCTGACGAGGACAGATTACCTGGTGTCAATTCTTTTCAGGATACAAACAAGGTATTGTAGTACATTGGTTCTATCATACAGTGTTTCTTATTTATATTGCTTGCACATTGTAATTTGATCTGAATGCTATAATTTTGGGTTAATCGTTGTCTCCACACTTCATGCTATGGTTGAGATTTTATTGTTTATTTTCCTTGCTACATATACTCCAAGTATGAATGTATCATTGTAATCTTACTTATCCTGCCAAGAATCTGCTTACTTTATTATGCTGGTTTTTTTTTCTCTTATCTCTCCTGTTAATCTGGTGTCATCATGTTCGAATTCATGCATGGTTTTTAATATTTAACTAGTCAGTTTAATAGTGTTTTTACAGTTGCACTTTACAGTGTGTCGGCAATTGGCATAAAAATACTTATAAAAAAAAAAAATATGGTTTTTAATATTTAACTAGCTCAGGGAATCTGCTCACTTTATTATGCTGGTTTTTGCCTCTCATCTCTCCTGTTAATCTGGTGTCATTGTGTTGTACTTATTCATGGTTTTTAATAATTTAACTAGCTCTTTGGAAACAGGTACTTGCTGTTTCACGTGTTATGGTTGCCTGGCAACCTATTGGCATTTCAATGGGTGTCTATGATATGTGTCACAGGTATTATAATATGGGAATTTACAAATATGTTATACTTTTGCTTGATACTACCTGAGAAAAATTGGTTGATCACTTCCTTTGTTCCCTCTCCAAACTTAAATCATTTCCGTGATTTTGGGGATAATTTATCCTATTGACTTCACTCCAGAATTTCATTTTCATTACCAGTAGCTCATTCCATCATATTCCAGTTCCTGGGTAGTTACATTTTCTAAAGAATTCTAATTCTCAAAAATAGAGAAGATTTATTTTAGCTCCTCAATATGGGCTGGTTTCAAGAACTTTTTAGTTTTCAAATAAGGCTATGTCAAATGAGAATTTCCTTGCCATTTTATTTCTTTAGGTTTTATTTTTTGAACTACTTTTTTGTGTGTGATTCCAACCATGACAATGACACAATATTCAATTAAAAATAATAGTAATAATCATAAAATAATAGTAATAATCATAACTTACAATAAACAAGAATATCCACTTTAAGTAAGCTTTTTGAAGTCAACTTTATGTTAGAAGTGAGAATTCATTAGTCTTTTTACTTGATATCAGTGGAAACATGGACCTTCGACATAGTACTCAAGACATCAACCATTCTGATTGTCATTATGTTTTTAACTTATTTTCAGCCTTCAGTTTGACCTGTTCTGATTTTTATGTAAAGGTACTTGAAAGAAAGGAAACAGTTTGGAGCACCATTGGCTGCTTTCCAAATCAACCAACAGAAACTAGTTCACATGTTGGGTAATATTCAAGCGATGATTCTTATTGGCTGGCGCCTTTGCAAGTTGTATGAGAATAGTAAAATGACTCCGGGTCACGCTAGCTTGGCGAAGGTGAGAACCGTGAGATACTTTTAGTTTCTAATTGTAAGATTAGTACATTTTGTGGTTCTTTTGTATTGATAAATTTCTTTGTCGTTCAGTCATGGATTACCTTAAAAGCAAGGGAGACTGCTTCTCTTGGACGGGAGTTACTTGGAGGCAACGGAATCTTGGCTGACTTTCTAGTTGCAAAGGTATTCAAGCATATCTTGATCCACTTGAGCCCCACTACGTTGTGCTGCATCATTGGGTGGGAGCTGGAGTGGTTGATAACTTCAAGCATACCTTTCATATGCTTCCTGTTTCTCAATGATTGGAATATAAAGCTCCATTATTGTCAAACTGTGTCATATTAGTTAGTTAGTAAACTACATTTGCACTAATTCATGTACTAATCATGCTTCACATCTTGCATGCTATGTTTTGTTATACCGTTTCTTTGCTTTTAATTTTGATAGCTTGAGATTAATAGAGAATTTCTAAGTGATCTTATTCTAGATCTTTAAACTAACATAATGAAGGACTACTTTTGTCTTTCATACATAAAAGTCGCTGTGGCTTTCAATCAATGGGTTACCTTTTTTAACACTCATTCATAACATAAACGGTCCCTTTCTCATTTTTCAGGCATTCTGTGATTTGGAGCCCATCTTCACTTATGAAGGAACTTATGACATAAACAGCTTGGTCACGGGAAGGGAGATCACTGGTATTGCCAGTTTCAAGCCAGCTGCACTGAGGCAGCAGAGCCGTCTGTAATAGAGTAAAAATCTCTTCCTTCCTAGCTCTGCCTGGGAACTTGGTTGTTGCATTATGGCCAATGTATGGTTATCCGATATGAGATGATGAGGAATAACTGTGATGAAATCACCCTAAAATTCATCACACTGGAGTGAAGGATAGACTAAATTATAAATGTTTTATAGGTTACAACGGAAAATGAAATAAAGAAAGATGACATATTGGAGTTCCTCTTTAGCAGATGTTGTCTTGCTTCATCTACCTTGATCTCTACTCTCATGGAAGCATTACTTTGCGTGAGCTTTGGACCTTTCAGGTTTTATTTACTAAATATCATGAGCATTCAGTTGTGGCTCTATTAATCTTGTTGTTTAGACAGCAGGCAGAAGTTGCAATAAATGAAGAACCAATTTGCAATCTTCTTACTAAATTTATGTTGCGTTTTGGAGCACTGAATTGGTACCAGCCTTGGATTTTCTTCTAATTCAAAATTTAAGGTGCCAATTCGGTGCTTCTAAACGCAACAGAATTGAACTAAATTTTTTTCAATTTTAATTTTAAACTGTCGATTTGACCCAACATCATTTTAGTTTTAAAGTTATTGAGATGAACTTCAAAATAACTGCATGAATTTTAATTTTGCATCTACAAGTGTCTCAGAAAATCAGCAGTTGAAGCTAGCACTTGCCTGAAGCAGAGCAAGCATTAGTTTTAAACGTTCGACACTGCTTGGAAGTTGGAACAGCTTATTGATGATGACCCACTTCAGATTTTCCTTTTTCTTTTCTGAGTAATTGCAGCCTTGGGTATAAAATACTGAGTCATATTGTTTGTTTGTCACTCGTAGTGGATACATATATTTGCGAGTTCACAGGTAGTAGTGGTGTTATGAGCTGAGTCCATTAAAATACATGATCTGAATACAGACCTTTAAAATATATGGAACCATGTTGTATGTATTCATAGGGCCGTCTGTTTCGCATCACTCACACAGTGGAAATATCGGTGGTCATATTCGACTGGTGTTTTTATATAATATTGGATGTGTTACAAATGCAAAGGAATGAAGACATTTATTATTTTTCATAAATAATTCATAAATTATTTTCTTTCTATTATCAAATAATCGCTGTTCAGTGATTAAACTCTAATATATATGTACATTCTCACTCTAAAAAAGATACTTTTGTATTCCAAAACCGATCATATGTCAAGGTTCTTATATGGAGGAGAGAAGAACTAGACCTAGAAGGCTCTCATATGGAGGAGAGAAAACCAGATCTAGAAAAAGAAAAAGGAGGAAGAAGAAAGATAAGAAATGGCTGATTTCTTTTTCTCATCCCTCACTTTTATACTAGGTCAAGAAAAGTCAAAAAGTTAACAAATGAACCCCACGCCATTCCAAAAAGTTAAAGTCGTCGAACTGCTCTCAAATGAACAAAACTCGTTAAAGTAAAAATACTGTATCGAAAAATAATGAATAACAAAATTAATAGTGTCGAAAAATAATTTCGAACTGCAAAATCCGTTCCGGATCCACATGGTAACCGGGTCAAAAATTCAAAAATAAAATAAATGGTCTGAAATCCATTTCCAAGAGTCCAGAACTCGAAAAAAAGGCTAAAAAGAATTATGGGAATTCCGTATCCCAATGTAATAAAATTAAAAGAAAAAAAAATTATAAAAATCAAAACAAAGACCGGTCTCTACGAACATCCCTAGTATCCTCTACAGGCTACAGGCTCTTTGGCGGAACTCATAAGCTAATTTCCATCAAGATTATTATTAGTAGAATTATTATGATTTTTTTTTAAAATGCCAACTTAAAAGTCAACTTGATAAAGTCAAAAATTTCGCATGGCATAGACAATGCTAAAGTCGAAGTGATATAACACTGGAAAAAGCAGTTAAATTGAACAATGATTTATACGGAAGGTTTAGCTTAGACTGAAAGCTAATCTCTGCTTTTAGTCAGTAGAAGAGTTCTAATCAGGTGTCAAAAACAATTGCCATCGGAGGATTTGATACTCCTGAACCAAAACACCTTCCAAATTGATGTGATATATATTGTACTTAAAGCTAAGGCAAATCTAATTTTCACCAAAATACCTTCCCAAATTGTTGTGATACCCTTACTAACTGGGTTCTCAAATCAGGATCGCCTCTCAAATCAGTATCTCCTCCTGTGCGGAAGGATTGTGTAAAACAACACCGTTTCAATACACAGGATCGCCATAGAAGATCCGGATTCTTCACTAAAACATGAATTGATATATCAAAGACTCTCCGTTCTTCCCAACAAATTGCATTCATTAGGTGGATTGGAACTTCAAAAATCAAGTTCGTCTCGATGATTAAGGATTGATATTTTTTTTTTTCCTAGTTGGTACTCGCACACACTTGTTTCTTTTGAGACTTGAACCTCTGACCTCCCTTTGGGAGCTAAGAGGTTGATACCGCTAGGCCACTGGCTCGTTCATCTTCCCTATTATCAGTTGTATTGCTTGAAATTATTCGATCCACAGGCTGTAGCATCATATACGTGCAGTAGGTTATGATGTCCGTATCGAACTTATAAAACATCAATCTTGAAGGAGGGGGACCAAGGATTGAAATAGAAAAATGCTAAGCAATGATGATTTAACAATGTACATAACCCAGCATGCTGTATTAGTAATTAAAACAGTGCCATCATTTCCCCTATTTACTGCTAAATCATAACAGTTTACTAAAAGAGCCGCTATAATTTCAATAGAAGATGGTGGATTTAATCAAGTAGAATCATCAGAGGACCACACTGGACCTGTGGTCATAATTAGTGGGGTACTTCTAAGAATAATAATTCAAGCTATGTTAGAATTTATAAATTAACAGCCAAGGGTTAGTCTTGCTTATTTATTACAGTGAAGCCAGGTTTGATCATTCTGAAGACAAGGATCAAACGGTCATGGTCATTATGAGGGCAAGGTGATCTGAAATAGCAGAAAACAAATCCTATGTTGGGTTTTTAACAATCTCTGTTCTCGTTACCGAGGGTTGTAGCCTAGTGAAATTTTCTTTCCTTCCAAAGTAGAAGGTCGAGGATTAGTATAGTGATACTTTATTGCCTTCCGTAGTAGAGGTTGAGGGTTCGAGCTCCCAAATGGGACAAGTCGATGTGTGAATTTCTTGTTTAGGAAAAAAACAAATAAATAAATAGAAGCCTATTTTTGAGTGCCATGATTTCTCCAATGATTACCCTATGTCTACTATCTATCATGTGAACCATATGATCGATGAGTTCAACCTGCTATGGCAAATTAATTCTACTAAGGTGACTGTAAGTGCAAGTCATGACTATGAGAGAGAGAGAGAGAGGGGGTGGGAGAGAGAATTCCATTTTTGTACATTTAAAGTGTCCCACCTAATGAACACCCTAAGGATTCTATATGAAAGAAATAACACAGTGGTTGGACAATCATGTAGCTTGCACATTGTATATAAGACATGATGAGCCAAAGATGTTAGCTTTCCAACTTACCCATAACCTACACTATGGACCATTAATTTAGTTAATAACTCAACCACACTTGACTTTAGCTTCACTCCTACTCAAAAAAACAATAAAACACACCACAAATCCCCTCTCAAAGTCCTCATCATTCTGTTTCTCCCCAAAACTCCTACCCTTATTCTTCATCCACCATTGAGCTTCTCTGCATCCTTCACAATGGCGGGCACGGTGAAACCCCCTCGAGGGAAGCTTCCTCTCCCGGTAATTGCTGTTGTCATCTGCGCCTTCACTTTCATCCTTCTCCTATCCACAGAAAGAATTAGTTTTCTCTCTTCCAACACTACTTTCAAGCTTAAACCCTGTCCTAAACGACACATTGCCAAGACTACCAAGTCTAAAACAGGTTTGCTAGTTCTTTATCTCCATGTTCCCTTTTTTTTTACTTCAAATTCAGACTCTAGTATTTTGGTTCTGATAGCATACTATAATTTGTACATGTATACAGGGGAGAATCAAATTAAGTACGAAGTGGATGACAGATTTGAGTTCGATCCAAGTGAGTGTGGTAGTGTTGGTACTCAAGGCAAGTGGGTGTTTAACGCTTCAATCAAGCCTCTGTACTCGGACAGGACATGTCCATATCTTGATAGGCAAGTTTCTTGTGTCAAGAATGGTCGACCAGATTCTGACTACCGCTACTGGGAATGGCAGCCAGAGGAGTGTATGTTGCCTAGGTTGACAACTGAACTTGTTCAGCATATGCAAATGAACACACACACACACACATATATATGTTTCACTTTAACCACAAATGCTATATGCATCATACTGCCTATGATGAATATTTATATGCATGTTGTGATTTGGTTTTCAGGTTCAATCCTAAACTTGCCCTTCATAAACTTAGAGGAAAGAGGCTAATGTTTGTTGGGGATTCACTACAAAGAGGTCAGTGGCAATCTTTTGTTTGTCTCGTCGAATTCATTATACCTAAGAACCAGAAGTCCATGCGACGGGGCAAGGTTCATTCAGTCTTCACAGCCAAGGTATTTACCTATCTATAATGTTAGGAAAAGCACCATTAGGGAAATTTGGCTTCTAATTTGTACAGAATTCTGATAAGAAAGTTTCATGCATGGTCCTAGTGAGAAATTTCAGAATTTAAGTGACCCCTAGCAACTTCATGTACCATCATTACTGGTATATGAGTCAGTAATGTCAAATGTTCTGATTCATACACATAGAAAAGAGAAATCTGCATAAAGTTACTAAATTAATACTCCAATATCAACAGTTAGGTGTGTGTTTTTCTCCAAGCCACCATTCCAACAACTGCACAGGTTGGACCAACAAGGCCGAATGTGACCTTTTGCAGTTTTAAATTTTCAAAATAGTTATGATACTGACTATGCTCATACCTACCATTGTAATTGTGTCACAAAAGAGACATCATTTGACGAAGTTTGTTTTTATATCATTACATCTTAATCTTTTTCTAAGTTTTTGCAAATATGATTACAATACCTTACCCAAAAAAAAAAAATATGATTACAATAGCTTTCCTAACATTCACTGTCTTTTTAAGGGTCATATATGAAGTTCAATAAGCATATGTACTATACTAGTATACTCCCACCCCCTGTGCCGCACAAAAAACAACATTAGACAAAGTTGTATTCATACAATTACATATCAGACTTTTCCAAATTTTTTGTGAAGAAGATGTGCTAGCTTAAAAGAACAATTTATTTATATTTTTCCAGCTAATTTCTCCTATCCAATCCTTTAGGAATACAATGCAACAATTGAGTTCTACTGGGCACCATTTCTGGTTGAGTCCAACACTGATATCCATGTACTACCAGATCCAAGGGATAGAATACTAAGAGTGGATTCAGTTTCCAAGCATGCCAAACACTGGATGGGAGTGGATATCCTTGTCTTCAACACCTATGTTTGGTGGATGAGTGGCCTCAAGATCAAGTCACTGTTAGTAGTTTCTCTATCAACCAATGTATTTATATAATAAATTAGACTAAACTATTTAGTAGCTGTGATGCTATATTAATAAAAAAAAAAATCTGATTGAGCACAGATGGGGTTCATTTGCAAATGGGGAAGAAGGATATGAAGAGTTGGATGCCCCTGTTGCCTACCGAATAGGATTGAAGACATGGGCAAACTGGATTGACTCAACCATTGAACCGAATCAAACCCGTGTTTTCTTCACCACAATATCTCCAACACATCAGAGGTCCCCTCTCTCTCTATATATGTAATATACATATATATTTGATCTTCCTGGGGGCAAGCCTTAGTGCAACGGTAATGTTGCTCTATTATGACCTAACTTGCTCCATTGTGACCTAAAGGTCACAGATGCAATGGTGCGATTCTCATGCACTAGGTTTGCCCTTTTTAATATTTGATTTTCCTTGGTTTGAACTATATTGGCATTATTAACAATCACAAAGTCTTACTCTTTCAGAAGTGCAGACTGGAACAATAAGGATGGGATTAAATGTTACAACGAAACAAAACCAGTCAAGAAAAAGGGTCACTGGGGAACTGGTTCTGATAAAAGGATTATGAATGTGGTGGCAGATGTAGTGGACAAAATGAAAATCCCTGTGACTTTCATAAACATAACACAGTTATCAGAATACCGAATTGACGCTCACTCGTCGATTTACACTGAAATGGGAGGTGATCTGCTGACTGATGAGCAGAAAGCTGATCCGCTACATTATGCAGATTGCATCCATTGGTGCTTGCCTGGAGTTCCTGATACATGGAATCAAATATTTCTAGCACATTTATAGTGCTGAAGAGAAATGAACACCAACCCGTGTGTTTATGTGATTACAAAATGTCAATTATAAATAGTTTTTTGAAATTTGTTTCCCCTATATTGAATTTATTTGTCACATCTATCGACTGATATGTCCCTTTTCTTGTCAGTAGATGAGAGTTTGATTTATACACCAAACCAAAACATAGTCTTGCTTGCAAGTTCCTGCACAATTTACTCATTAAAAGAGACTATGATTGCGAAATCTACTCTTTTTCTGTTTTTAAAAAGTTTTATTAAAAATGTTAATATTTCCCATTTTCTGGAGGATAACAAAGCTAACTCATCAAACTTATTTCGTTGCCCTTCCATTTCCTTTCTTTCTCTTCCAAAATTTTATACCAAACATAAAAAAATCATATACCTCTATTTATTTTATTTTCTTTTCCTTTCATCATTTCTTTCTAACCAGACTAGGCCTTTAGAGAGTTTTAATGTATTTAATCTATTATGTTATGGGTTAGTTTTCACTACTTGCAAAAATTGTTGCTATTGTATGAATTTAATGGTACTTCCTCTTTGGAAAGATAAATAGTAAGTCTTCTCAAGAACATCCGACACTTTTAAGCCAAAATAAAAGGGCTTGCATTTGATTAAAGGACAAGTGCATAAAACAATCTTAAAATATACTTCGCGTAGTACTTTTATCCTTATTTGAAAAAGTGTGCAAAAAATAATCATGATCTCTACACATTATGCAAAAATACCCCTTTGACAAAAATTAGTGTTGTAATACCTGTTTTGCCCTTTTACTCTTCTGAAAATACTCAAAGGGGTATATATGCTACTAATCTCATAGTATAGGGGTATTATGTGCACATTACCTTATGTTTTTTTTTTTTTTCAAACTTTTTTCTCTAAACTTATTTTATAAAAAAGAAACTTTGAGAATTTGTAGAACACGAATTTGAATTTTTTGAAATTTCAATTTACTATTTTCTACCATTTTTTTTTTTCTCTTTATTTATTTATTTTTCGTACCAACAGTGTTAAAAAAAAAAATCTCAATATTAGTGTGCACTAATTTTCGGAGTTTGGAAAGATTTGTTTTCTTTACTTTGCACTTTATTTTCTATTTTTATCTATACTTTTCTTTTATACTTTTATTTTTATTTATTTTTTCTATTTTTATCTTTACTTGTCCATTAACGGCGTTCTCCAATAGTGTATTTTTTAGTCATTTTACAAAATTATATATTTTATAAAATTGTTCAGTAAGGGTAATTTAGTCAACTTAGAGTTTAAATTTGTCAGAGGGACCTATTTGCACCAATTTGAAGCTTTATGAGTGTTTTTTTACACTGAGAGGCATCCTCCAATAATGTCATTTTCAACCATTGTACAAAATTATTTATTTTCATATATTTTATAAAATGGTTCAGTAAGGGTGATTCAACTTAGGATTTAAATTTGTTAGATGGACATATTTGCACCAAATTAAAACTTTAGGGGTGTGTAATATGCATTTTAAACATATTTTAGGGGTGTTTTTTGCACTTCACCCTTGATTAAATCATATAAAACTTATTTAATAAGAGTTAAGATTTGGTGTTATTTGACAATTCAATTCAATGCTTACTTTTGAATGGATAAAGTGTTTATCTAATTAATTGTATTTGATACACAATTTGAATATTAATTAAAAAGGTAAGTGCTATTTAAAATGGAGTAAAATTTTAGGTACTGAAAATTTTATATAGTGGAAAAGAAGACCGTGTTGAGCTTGACTCTAGTCCGACTTTGTGAAATGAATTGAGAGGTGTAGAATAAGTTGGAGCCAGTAAGGTGTTGTTTGATAAAGCAAAAGATTTTAATAATTGAATTTTAAATGCTGAAGTTTTTTAAGTGGTAATTAAAAAATAAATATTTTTAAATATATTTGAATTTTTACACTTCAGCTTTCAATAATAAATGTTATATTTTACACCATTTTAAGTAGCACTTATAATTATCAAATTTATTAGTGATATTCAAATTACGTTATGAAACGCAATTAATTGAATAAGTAATGACTTTTGTTCAGATTTAAGTGTTAAATTGAATTATCAAATAACACCCAAACAGTGACATAATTTATCACGAAATGCTGGAGACTAAAAATTCAAAAAAAAAAAATTTAATTTTTTAAAATTTTTAGTTATCACATAAAAAAATTTCACCAATTAAAATTCATTTCTAATTAATATTTTAAGAGTCGTGATACTCAGACAGAAAGATTAGACAGATTGTTAGGCAGAATCTACATGGCACAAAATAAAATTTAATATGGCAATCATATAGTCCCACTAGCATATCCATTAAAACAACATGAATTTTCAAAGACAAAATTACCCTTATATTACCTTCTCATATCCATCCTACCTTTTTAGGATTATTTAACTGAGATCCTTGCTTAAAAAATAATTGTAATTAAAATCCCTTAAATTTGTTTTATAAATATTATCAGAACACTATCTCTCTCTAAATAGATGTCCAATTCAATCCCCTTAACTTTGTTTTTAAAATTTTATTAAAACACTCTTCCACTCCTTATACACACACACACACACACACACACATATATAGTGGCGTTCAATTGCTCCCTGGTGAGCATAGAATAGTATACTCACTTTTAATCCTGACCTTAAAATCTAATCCTACAATAATTAATTAATTAGTGTTGCCTTTTTATATTTAAGGCAACTTTATACTCACCAGGAAGTAATCTTTCAGTATTTCAATATTTCACTATTTCAGTATTAATATATAAAGAAAAAAAAAAAGAGTTTTTATAAATATATATATATATATATATATATATATATATATATATATCTAAAAATTATTTAAAGAGTCTAATTCAAATTACAAATTACCTAATAAAATTCATTTTTCTTGTCCCACATCGATTTTAAGTTAGAAATGATTACATGGAAGCCTCTTATAAAACTATAACCTAAATAAATATTAATCACACATTTTTCGACCTTTTGGCTAACCTTTCTCGGCCTTTTCGCTAAGAGCAAGTGTAATACTAATTTTTTTTGGTTTTGGTCAACTAGAGTAGCTTGCTACTTTAGACTCTAAAAATTATTCTAACACAAATTACCTATTTATCTATTTATTATGAGTTTTTTTATTAAAAGGAAATCTAATTAGACAAGTATTATTAATATAAAAAATTTATTTATTAATTGATATAAAAAAAAAGGTTTTAAAAGAGCATCTATAAATCTCTAACAAAAATTACCTATTTATCTATTTATTATGAGTTTTTTAATAAAAGGAAATTTAATTAGACAAGAATTATTAATACAAAAAAATATTTATTAATTGATATAAAAGAGATTTTAAAAGAGTTTTTATTAAACTCTAACACAAAATATATTTTAACTACACAAATTATAGAAACTTTAAAAATTATTACCTAATAAAATTCAAATAAATTTTTTTATAAAACTTAAACAAGAAATATATTTCAAATTAAAGAAACTCTAAAAATTATTACCTAATAAAATTCAAATAAAATATTTATTAAAACTATAACACGGAATATATTTCAAATTAGCTAATAAAATTCATAAAAATTAATTTAAATAGTTTAATTCAAATTATAAATTACCTATTAAAATTCATTTTTCTTGTCCCACATCGGTTTTGAGTTATAACGGATCATATGGAAGCCTCTTATAAAACTATAGACCTAAAGAAATATTAATCACACATTTTTCGGTCTTTTGGCTAACCTTTCTCGGCTTATGGCTAAGATAAAGTATAGTACTAAATTTTTTTGGGTCCGGTCAACTAGAGTAGCTTGCTACTTTACTGATCTTAGCATCTCCTTGGTGTTGCACTATTACCAAGTTTTGATGCACCCTTCAAATCAAATTGTACCTAATAAAATTTATTTTTCTTGTCCCACATCGGTTTTAAATTATAAAGTATTACATGAAAGCCTCTTATAAAACTATAGACCTAAAGAAATATTAATCACACATTTCTCGGTCTTTTGGCTAAGATCAAGTGTAGTACTAAATTTTTTTAATATATATATAAAAAAATAATAATAATAAAAAAAAAAGAGTTTTTTGAAAAAAAAAAATTACCTAAAAATTATTTGAAGAGTTTAATTCAAATTACAAAATACCAATATATTTCAAACTAAACTCTAGAAATTTAGTATTTTGAAGTAATAACAAGAAAATTAATGTCTTTACTCATGTGCAGATTCATAATGATAATTAAAGTGCGAAGTATGGAACATATTGCAACCCTAACAGTGTTCAATGATTGCCAAATATTAATAAATTGTTCACTAGATGATTTACTACATTTATAAATTGAGGTAATTTTTCACCCTTATTCATAAAATTTTAATTAAATTAAAAAAATAAATACTTAGTTTAATTTCTCAATAGCTCTAAATTCTTAATAGCTCTAAATTATATTTGTTTTTTTTGCAGGACAGGGATGAATTCAGCAAAAAAAATTACAAGCTGCAAAGGAAAATCTTTTATTTTTCTGATGAAGATAGACAATACTCAACAACAAGTCGTGAAAACTTATTTTGCAGTAGAAGAATTAAATATATTGACACTTGACAATGATTTATTTAATGAAGAGATGAGATATGCAAAAAAGATAAAGATTGAGAAATAAATAATTTAGGAATACTTTTATTTTCAAAGAGTTATAGTTTAGGAATTCATAAAATTATAGTTTTGAATAGTTTGTCATACATTTTAAGTACCTTTTGGATTTTATAATATATTTTGTTTCTTTTTAGGTGTGGTTTACTTCGCAGACCATACTGGAGCTAGTTTCAACAAAGCTTCCGGCGCAAGCAAGCTCTTTTTGGGACGAGTGCTTACCACAGCACTTACCTTATTCGTTTAAGTCAAATATTCTCTATCGAGAAAGCATACCACTACTAGCCGCCCTTACCAATTATTACAATCTAAAAATTGTTGGTACCCTTTCGGATTTTATAATATATATATAATTTTTATATATTATTTATTTATAAATGATTTGTAAATTATAGAATTTTTATTTTCACATATTTTTTAATTTTTTATAGTTTTCATTCATCTGTAAATGGAAAACCTTATTTTATTTCTTTTGAAAGTGACAATGCATTCTGGGCTGACATTGTTTTGCCTATTTTTTTTTATAAAATTATAAACAATTAAAAAATATATTAAAATATAAATTATATAAATTACAAAATATTCATCACGTGCATCGCACATGCCTTTTATTAGTTTACATATATATAT